ATGATGATGATGAAAGAAAGGAAATTCCCACACAAACATCATAATCATAAACATTTGTTGTTGTTGTTGTTCGTAGTAGACAATACATAATAACAATACATAATCATCGATGTCATCAAATGACCCAACATCCAATTTTAGATCACATATTTAGTTCAGCTGCATTGATATTTTTATGAAGATTTTTCTTTTCATTTCTTGATTCGAATGTTTCATTTTGTTTCGAACCAAATTCAATGCGCACACTCATATCGTTCGATTTGATATTCGACAACTTATTTTCCACCTTTTTTTTCGGTTTCTGTCAAAAAATAGATAAAATTTATTTGTCGATTAAAACTGTCAAAATGAATTCTGACCACAAAAATCAACAACACTTTCCCTTTTTCATGTCATTCGATGATTGTACTGAAAATGGTTATTATGAATTGTTGAAATTTGATTCAAAAATTATGCCAACATTACATATTTATACAGACCACCAACACAAAGTTTCGATAATAATTTTTGTCGATGGTCATCATCATCATCATCTTGATCATGATCTAGGCTTGTATATGGAATAGTAGAAACAGAAAATTGACAGTGTCCAATTGATTGTCAAATATGGATATGAATTTTACTTACATTAAATTTCTATCAATAAGGATGAGATTCAAAAACATGAATGAAAAATTTGATTAGGCAATCGTTCGTGGAAAACAGAAATTCGACACATCTTACGATAATTGTTCTTCGAGCAAAGAACAATTTCCATTTTAAATTCGAACAACAACAAACAGACAAAAAAAATTTTCTTCCGATATCATTGTGATTCGTTCATCACCATAATCGATTGTCAAAATTAAAAACACTTGTTAACACTTAATTTTGCTCAATTGAAAATTATTTTGACTGAACTTATTTTTGTCAGAAACATATAACTTTTATCTGTTTCTTTTAACTTGGCAATCATTCAATTCGACAATAACATTTTTTTCATTGTTCTTTTTTTGTTTGTTAAATAATTATTTTCTTAAATATCTTGAATTGACTTTGATGTGGGAAAAGATCATGCCAACATTAGGATTCAAGTAGCACAAAAAATGTTGCAATGAAAAAAAGTAATTCAAATCAAACTATTGAGCAATTAACACTCATTATCATCATCATCAAAAGTTTAACACATTTTAATCATGTAAAATTCTTATGTAGATTTCAAGATTTTTTTTGTGGAATTAATGTAAAACAAAAGGAATCAATCTTTGATGATGATTGATTGATTGATGATCTGAATGTGATGTTGAATAGCAAGATTATAAATGGGGAAAAATGGAATGGAAAAAACTTCTAATGACCATTCAATTCATGAATTCATTTCATGAGGTTTATTCAAATCAATCATTCAAATGTGGAAAAACAACAAAATTAACAACAAAATTAACATCGATTTGATCATTGTTTTTCCACAAAAATAATGATTTTAAATGATGATGATGATGATACACAGAAGTTTGTTTTGTTTGTTTGTTTGATGATTGATAGCCTTAAAATGTGATAGTTTTAGATCAATAATCATAGCTTGAATGAGCAACAAGTATCATGGATAATTTACCAGTGCAAACGAATTACCAAAAAACCAAAAATGATTGTTCAATTTGGAACAAGAAGAAAACAAGAAAAAACAATGGACTAGGAATTTTTTTTGACAATTTGAAAAACAAAAAAAAAATTATTTTTAACATCAACTAATGATGATTATTATTTACCATCAATAAACTAAAGTAAACATCCAATTCCAATGTTTTTTTTTATTATCATTTGTTTTTTTTGATATTTTTAGTTCTTCTATCATTGACGACAACAACAGTATTAGTTTCGGGACAACAACATGAAAACATCATTATCAACAATAACAACAACAATGTATCGAATATAATCAACAGTAGATGGTCAAATTATCCGATATATAATAATCATAATGACAATGGTGTTGATGTTCATAGTTCATCATCGTTATCATCGTTATCATCATCTTTGTTACCGAAACATTTTAAATTATTATCTTCGCCTTTGATTACACAAACATCAGCTATTCAATCATCATTATCATCAACAACTAACCAGAACCAATTCATCAATGTTGATGAATTTCGAACCAATATATCTAAACAATTTAATTTCATATGCAATACACAATTCGGTTATTATCCTGATCCAGGAAATTGTTCATCATATTTTATTTGTTCATTTGGTATACCATTACATAAAAATTGTTCAAAAGGATTATATTTTTCAATACGTTTACAGACATGTGATTGGCCTGCTAATGTACAATGTGAACAAGGTTTGTGTTTTTTCTGATTATTTTTGTTGAATTTCTTTTCTTTTTCTTCAAATTCAAAAATAAATTTTCAATCACCAAAACAGAATTTTCTTTTTCTTTTCCCTTTTCTATTATTGACATCAACAACGAGAAACAAAAAATTGGACATCCATGTTTCTTTTCTTCGGTTGTTGATCGGATGTGAGATTTATTTCTCAGATTATTATTATGTGTAGCCTATTATAATTTATTTTCAAGCAAAACTAAAATGAAAATTGATCAGTTGATTGACAGTCAGTCATTCAGTCAGTCAATCTGAATACGATGGTCATTCAAATCACTTAAATTATCATCATGATTGCTGCTGCTGCTGCTACTACTCTCTCTCCTTGATATACTCTAATATTAACAATTTTCCAATTGTGATTAGAAACTTTATTTTGAAACGGATTTTCCCTTGTTGTTGTCTTTTACTTCAATTACAAATTAGATATTCGACAACAACAACAACGATGATGGAAAATAAAAAAAATAAAATTGGGCGACCCATTCTTAAGTTGAAAATTTCAGTGGATACACCTTTCACTTTCATAAATGATTTTTTTTCTTCTCAAGGCATCTATGTATGTGTTTACATTAAGGATTTCTTAGTGAAAGGAATTTTGTATTTTTGTATACCAAAAATAGCCGATATAAATAGTGGTGGTGGTCAATGATGGTCAAACTATTGACAACAACCAAACCAAACCAAACGAGAGAAAAAAAACTGTCTCATTTTTTATTGATAGCCGATATATTTTCTTATCTCTGGCAAACAATTTGCCCAAAAGCTTATTATCATCTAAGCATTAATAAGTATTGTTTATTTTTGTGATGTTTGCTACCATTTTTTTTTTACTTTTCGATTGATCGATTGATGATGATGATAATGATAGCTGAACAAAAAAAAAAAAGACAAACAAACTGAAAATCAGGGAAAAAAATCTTACAGGATCATTGACAACAAGCGACTGCTGTATCACAGGCTATTAATCTGATAATAATAGTATTTTTTCCTGCATTAGAATTGGATCTTAATTTTTCTGATGATTATAATTCGATTCAAATTTCAATCGGATTTATCGACAACAAACGAAAAAAATAAATTGGAAAACATAAATCATAATCTGCAAATCATTGATTGTTTTGTTTTCGATGATGATTGAAACAATGAAAGACTTCCGTCAAACAAAGTTCGGATGACAATCTTTATTCATTATGGTTCGTTTTTGGGAAAAGGAAATTTTACAATAATCAATTTCATGCCTGCAGTTTTTTGGGCATAATTTGATTCAATTTGATTCAATTTTTCTTCCAAAAAAATATTTTAATGAAATTTAATCTTTCATTCGGAACCGAATTCGAATTCAAAATCTGTATTTTATCAAATGATATGATGATGATTTAATTTGTGTTCCGGTTTGATAATGGAAACATTATTATTGTTATTGTTATTTTAGATTCAAATTATTTTTTTTTTTTTTTGCTTGTAAAGTTTCTTGTTATTTATTCAATCATCCATTATTATTATTATCTATTTGCACTCATATAGATTATTTATCGTTGAATGCTAAAACATCAATGTTCAATGTAATTGACGAGCCCAAATCATCAACAAGTATTGTTACAACAACAACAACAACACCGTTACCATTATTATCATCATCAGATTCAGCACCTTTATTATCGAATAGTTATACAGCTTCTCCTTCCAATAATCATATAACCACTTCGCCAACAACAACATTAACATACCGGAACATTTCTGAATATTTAAGAGATTTTTTTAATAAAAAAAGTAACATTGGTAGTAGTATAAATCATCATTACCCGACATTACAATCATCATCACCATTATCATCGAAATCAACTTTAATAAGTAAGAATCAATTATGTTTGCTTTCCATTATTATTATTACTTCCCCTTTTTATTTATTTCAATTGTTATTCATCAATCATTTGATTCTATTTTCTTTTTTTGGCTACAGGAAACTTAACTAGCTTAAATTTAACACCACCATTGAATAGTTTGGAGAAACATAATTATGATTCGAAATTATTGAATAAACTATCACCAACATATGTTGTTGATGGTTTTGAAGTTCCGCCGGCTTCAACAACAACAACAACAACAAATAAAAATTTAAATGGATTGGATAAATTTACTTCACACCTATCAACATTTACTAATAATAGTCGTATTAATAATGCTAAATTTATTGAAATAAGTAAACTAAAAAATGATATGAATGAAAATCGAACACAAAACAACAATCAACAATTTCAAAAACGTCAAGGATTTGAACCATATTGGACAGAAACGGGTTATTTTACGATTGATGATGATGATGGTGATAATGATGATGATGATAAACGTATCAATCCATTTACAATTTACAATGATCAATCAACACCAAAAAGTTATTTTAATGATCATCATCATCATGTTGATCTACATTTGATATCAACAAATCCATATATAAATGATAATGATAATAATAATAAAAAAAGACCGGAACCATTATATTGGATAAGTAACAATAATCCTTCATTACAATCGAGAAGTATCGATTCAAATCAGCCAAGACAACAACAACAATATTCAAATCAAAATATATTTCGATCATCATTCAATGGCTATGATGGAAAAAATTCATTGAAAAAAGGTGTTGTTGATTTTCGAAATAATTCTATTCTATTTTATTCATTCATCTTTCTTGGATCAATCTTGATATTAATCTTACTTTATTTTTTTTTCTCTCGGGGATTTATTTTATTTTTTCGTTTACAGATTCAGCCATCGATGGTAAACTAACAACACTGAAGCCACTACGAAGAAAAATACCCGAACTTTATATAAAAATTGTATCGAATGATAATTTTTCAACACCTTTTATGTCAGTAAATAATAATAATAATAATAATGGCCAAACAAATCGAGGATTGATTGTGCTGTCGAAACAACCATCACCATCATCGAAAGCAAAAGCAGAGAAAAAACTTAATTATGAAATTAATGAAAGATTACTTGCACCATTCAAACATAAAACCATTGAAGAAGATAGACTATTTAGTATGATACGTTCAGACAACAATATTAAGAATGCGGAACCAAAACATCGTAATCATAATGGCAATGTCAATGAACAACAACAAAAAATTGTTTATTCGGATGGATTTAATCGTTATACAGATCAAAAAACTACTGCTATTCCAACATATAAAATGATTAATCAGGTAACACATGCAAGTAGATTTAGGAAAAAAATTATTCGTAAAAAGAAAATGAATTATCAACCAACATCATCTTTATCATCATTGTCACCACCATCATCGGCAATGGCTGCCAGTTCTTCATCATCATTAACAAACGTTTATGGTCATCATCCATCTACAAAACTTTTAACAGGAACATTGGTGACCAGTTCATTCAATAATAACAATGAACAAAAAATACGAAGAAATAGTCGACCACCACTTTATAAAAGTTTAGATAAAGCTACTACATTACCATTTAATTATCCACATAATACATCGCCACGAATTTGGACTCCATCATCATCATCATCATCGTTTATGAATTTTTCACCAACAACATCGGCTCCTATTATTGAATATACATCGGATAATATACCATCGATTGAACGTTTAGCTTCAACAACATTAAAACCAACACAACGAAATCGACCACAACAATTACATGAAACAATAGGTATATATAGGAAAAATAATTCATCAAATAAAAATGATAATATCAATCATCATCATAATAAACTATTAATGAAATCAATGAATAATGATAAAACTGAAAGTGTAATGGTTGTACCAATGGATTCTAATTCAAATAAATATTTAAATCTTGCACAATATAATAGTTATGTTGTGATGCCCAATAGCTATTATAATAATGAAAATAATAAAAATAGTCAAACATCTAAAAATGATGAAATTCAAAAACAATTCAAAAATCCTATCGATACATTAGAAGAGTTTATTAAGAAAACTATAAAAGATGTTGCCAAGATAGAGCCACAAAAGTATTCTGTCACTTCATCATCGATGACAACAACAACAACAACAACGCCGCTTCCACCGCCATCAATGTTGGCCACAACAATTTTGCCAAATACGCCTCAAGGTTTTGAAACGAAAAAAGAACAAGTTTATAAAAAAATTAAAGCCATTAATGGATATCGAAGAAGTCGTAAATATCGTCCATTAATATCATTAGATCAAAATATTTCAACAAAAAAATCAAATATAACAAATTCTCATCATGAACAAAAATCAGATATTGTTACATTCACTAATCGAAATAATAGTAAAATCATCAATCTGTCTGATCCAAGCACTATTACTGTATATGAAACATTAAAAAATAATGATGTTGATCAAGAACGAACATCATCATTATACAAAACGATAGATGATCAATGGTCATTGACCACTACTTCAAGTCCTTTATTGACAAAATTGACTTATGGTGATCGATCAATATCGTCGATTATTCCAACAACCATTAGGCCCGAAAATTGGAAAGAAAATATTGATATACCAACCGATATGAATACAATACCGATAACCAGTACAACAAAATCACCACTATATACATTGAATAAACCAAAAAATAAAACAAAAATTGGAATAAAAATTCGTTTGCCTTCAAGTTCAACTTCAACAACATCCACAACAACAACTGTACCAATGATAACCATGTTACCGAAAACAGGTCCAACACCAAAGAATTACACAGAATATAATTACTATGATTATGATAATTATGATAATGTTCAAGATTATAACTATGATGATGAATATTATAATAATATGTTGAATGAAGGTAAAATATCAACAACCACTTCAACAACAACGACAACAACAACTACAACTACTTTAGCACCGCCATCATCATCCATTTCTTCATTATCATCATTTCACATGAATAACAGTATTAAAAGACAAAACGTAACAAGGTAATATCTAGTGTTTAACCCATTTTCTTTTCCATTTAATTTAAATAATATGCATTACTTATTTGATTTTCACATATAGACAAGGCAAAAAACCACTTATTTATCTTAGGAATAAACCTCGACCTACAATTCGTCGTTTAATTATAAAAGATCCTGGTGAGAATATGAAAATAATTTCAGCATCACGACCACAACCATTATATCCACAACCAAAAGCATTGGTAACGGCAAATAAATGCGATAAACGTAAATGTCGTTTACCTGATTGTCGATGCGGTAGTTCCGACATTCCTGGCAATTTTTCCAGCAAACAAATCCCACAACTTGTTATGTTGACATTTGATGATGCAGTTAATGATCTAAATTGGGATCTTTATGAAGAGTTATTAAATTCAGGACGAAAAAATCCTAATGGTTGTCCAATTAAAGCAACATTCTATGTTTCACATGAATGGACTGATTATGGACAAGTTCAAACATTATATTCTAGAGGTCATGAGATTGCATCACATACTATTTCGTAAGTTTTATTTATGAAAAAAAATTAAAATTTCTAAAAATATTTCCTTGGAAAAAAATGAATTTTCGGATAATTAAAGGCATCGATTTGGTGAAAAATTTTCCAAAGATGAATGGATCAAAGAAATAAATGGACAACGAGAAATATTAAATTTATATGGTGGTGTTAAATTTGAAGATATTCGTGGTATGAGAGCACCTTTTTTACAGACTGGAGGCAACAATATGTTTGAAATGTTATATGAAACTAATTTCACTTACGACTCATCATTACCAGTTCAAGAGAATCATCCAGCCTTTTGGCCATATACACTTGATTATGCATTATCACATAGTTGTAACATACCACCTTGTCCAACAAAATCGTTTCCAGGTATGATGAGAAAAAAAATCGAATTTGCATTTTTTTTTCTTTTCTCTTGTGTTCCTATAATTAGATTCTAATCAATTAATAAATGGCTAAAATTTCTATTATCATTATCATTGAACAGGTGTTTGGGAAGTTGGTATGATTATGTGGACCGATTTACGTGGTGGCCGATGTTCGATGGGAGATGCTTGCACAAATCCATCGGATGAAAATGGTGTTTACGAAATGTTAATCAAAAATTTTAACAGACATTATAAAAATAATCGTTCACCATTTTCATTATATTATCATAGTGCATGGTTTAATGTACAACATCATCGAAAAGGATTTCTTCGTTTTTTGGATGAAATTTTACAACATCAAGATGTTTATATGACAACAACATGGCAAATGTTACAATGGGTTCGACAACCAGTATCATTAGATCAATTAAATTCATTTGAACCATTTCAATGTAACAAACAAGAAAAACCAATACGTGAATGTACACGTGCAAATATTTGTAATGTTCATTCAAAACAAGGATCGCGTACATTACGTACATGTCAAGAATGTCCAACAACATTTCCATGGATAGGTAATACAGGATTTTCCAAATCCAAATATGGCTAAAACAAAACAGAACTGAATTAATTAATTTGTTTGATTTGATTTCAAAAAAAATTTGTGGCAAACAAAAATCAATTGTGATCATTTTAATTGTTATCATTTTTAAAGATTGCCATTGTCATTTTTATTGACATGTCAATTGCACTAGTCATTCTGTTTTCCATTTTTTAAAATTTTTCCATAAGATTTACATAACATTAACTTATTGTTTGAACAAAATGAAAAAAAAAATGTTAAATGGAATAAAATTGTTAAACATAATAATTTTTAAAAAATAAATGATTTTGATTTTCATATCATAAAATTGTTTTTCTTCAAGTTTAATTAACGCATTTACAGGTAAACAAATGTAAACAAAATTTAAGTTGCAATAAAAGAGCAAAGTTTGAGTTTCTTGATAATGATGTAAAATGAAATTATACACAGAAAAAAAAACAAAATTGAAATAATTATTAGAATTAATAAAATGGGAAAAAAATTAAGCAAAAAAAAACAGTGTGTTTTTAGTGTGATCATAATCAAAGTTTTAAAGATACACGACAAGTGAATAATAATTAATAAAATTTAAAAACGACTTTTTGTCCATATAATTTTTTTTTATGATTATAATTTCAATTAAAATAGATAGAATGATGATATAAAACAGAATTTAACTGACTAAAACAATATTATTATTTTTTTAAAATAATTAATTGAGTTTTGTTTTGCTCATTTTGTATTTTTTTATTTGTATTCTCATATATATCACATAAAATTTTCTTTTGTTTTGTTTTTTGGTCTCTAATTTTGGTCAGAGTTATTTTATCTGTTTTTTTTGTATACAAACAATTCTCACTGTAATATATATACTTTAAGGTTGGTCATTATAATAATTGATTTGTTGATGGATGGATTTGATTTGTCTTGTTATCAATCATGGATTAGTTACAAATGTGTATTTAGATTTCACCATTCTGTTCGATTAGATTTTGTTGTTGCATTGTATGTAATTTTTTATTTGTGACATCAAGACGAAACATTTCTGTTTGTAGTTCAGCCATACGATCGGATAATTCACCACAATTCTGTGGTTCGATGTCAGTTTCACTTAATTTTGATTTGGTTACATATTCTTCAATCTAAATGATTGAAAAAAATCGAAAAAAAAGAATTAATGAAAAGATAATAACATCGAAGAAAATATACCTTTGTTTCAAGCGAGCTTATCTTCTGCCTTAATTCAGCTACTAATTGTGTTTGTTCCAATTCTTTAATTCGTTTCATCATTTGTTGTTCTTTCATTTGAAAATCTAAATCGGAAAATTTACTTTTTTCTTTATTTAGTAACGTATGCGCTTGCCGTTCTCGCTCGAGAACATCATCATATTGTTCTTGTAATTTTTTCATTTCATCAGCTTGACGCCTGATCTGATTCATAGTGACATTGTTTTGTGTTTCAAGTTCCATAACTTTTTGTCGTAATTCTTTTAGATCAGAAAATGCTTCAGCTTCTCGTAATTTTGCTGACATAAGTTCTGTTTTAAGTTTATTGATTTCGACTGCTTGATCGGAATTGCGCTTAACAGCGCTGAGTATTTTCAAAGGACTTGATGTAACCGATAATGAAGGTAATGGAGTTGATGTTCCGTTCAAGCTATTGCTATTTAATGAATTACCATTGGAACCATTTTCCAAACTATTTGGTTGAGATGATTCGGCACTTTCAGGATGCATTGCTGACATATGTTCGTTCCACATTATTCGTAATTCAGCAATTTTTTCTTTCAATTCTTTGATGCTTAAATTGGCTTCAGCTTCACGTAATTTGACAGCTAACAATTCATCTTGTAATTTAGCTGTTGCGTGATCAGCTGGCAAACGACGTAAATGATTGATTTCTTCTTCAAGTTGGCGGATACGTTCTCTTAAATTTTTCATTTCTTCATGATTTTCAGCATCACGCAATTTGACAGCAATCAATTCCTCCTGTAATGATTCAATCAATTGTTGATGTTCTTTATTTTCAAGGGATTGGCTCAGTTCCCGTTTTTCTTTTAGCTCTATTATAGTGTTTGCTGCTTGCTCTAATTCACCGCGTAAATCTTGCTCCAATAATTTTGCGGCAGCAAGCTCTCGTTTTATTACAAAATTATCTTCAGCTTCTTGAGCACGGCTTACCTGGCCCTGTATAAGTTTGTCTGCCAATTCTCCGCTTTCATGTTCCAGATTGTCAATCCTTTGTCGAAGTAATCGATTTTCAGTACGTAATCGCTTTACAAAAAAAAAGAGAATAAAAATCAAACAAAATCGACAAATTATTATTATTATTATTATAAACTTACCCGTAATTCAACAAGCTCTTCTTGTTCTTTAGCTTTGATTGTTTGGTAATCTTTGGATAATTTTTTCATTTTTTTCTGATCATATTTAACATTAACAGCAAGATGAACTAAATAATCCGGATCGATGTCGCATCGTAAAGGCATTTCTTTTTGAAAATATTTAAGCAAGCCTTCCATATCAAGTTTAAGCAAATCATCACGACATAGTTGTAAGATTGCAATGGAAAGACGAAAAATGATATCAATGCCTTCTGATAAGAACAGATCCATAACTCGTGTAGATAGATGAATAGGAAGATTTGATGTAAAAAGTGTAAGAAACCAGGATGATGCAAACATTGATGTATGAAAGTTTTGTTGTTGAAAATGATTATAAAGTTCGGGTAAAAGTTCCTAAAAAAATAAGAAAAAATTATTAATGAATTTATTTAAAATGTAACTAAATTCAACAAACCTGTACTAAACATTCAAGCTGATAGATACAAAGGCCAAGTTCAGCCATAGTTGGTTTGAACATTTCTCTAAGTCGATAATCATACATTAAAGCTTGAAATACTGTAAAAGCATCTTCTTCCGGCATATTTAACAATAATAAACCAACAACAAAAGCACTTCCTTGACAGTATCCAACTTCAGAATCAAAAATTGAATATGCTTTCATAACATTAAATAAACCGATTTGTCCTATCGAATCTTTTTCTTTAAAATATTCATGTTCGGGAAATGTTCTTGGAATGTCTCTTTTAATGACTTTTTCACATGGCGAACTAAATTTTAATAATGGTGCATATTTTTCTCGTACTGCAACACGATTATTATGGACATTGCACAGCAATTGCCAAACTAAGCCACGTAAATTTGTGGGTACGCCTTTACGAACCAAATCCTAAACCAGCAAGAAAAAAATATCAAAGTTAATGCAAAAACAAATTATAATCAAAATATTGCAAACAACCTGAACAAGAGTTTTTTGTTTTTTATAAATATTGGCCCAATCATTGACTATCTGTCCCCAAACTTGATATATATCATCGGCATTACCATTGCACAATTGATTCAATTGTTCTGAATTGCTTATTTCAGATGTCTCTGATGATCGGCGTGAATGATTTGAATGTAATGAATTTAATGATTTCATATCTGTTTCCAATAGTCTGTTATGGCCATCAAAAACAAAACAAAAAATTGAATTGAATTGATGATTAGTATACATAATAACAGGTGTAACTCTTTCACGGGTTTCGGGCGTATATTATTATTGTAATTACCTGTTTTGTTCTTCAAGTTTTGCTAATAATTCAAGTTCTGCATTAGAAATTTTTTCTTTTGATTGTTGTTCAATTGATACTATAGGTAAATAGAATATATATCATGAATTAATAATCAATGAATAAGAAATTCCAATAGAATAGTAATCAAAATACCATTTTCATTAATCAGATCGATAGTAGTTGTAGCAGCAGCCATTGGATATTTTACAATCAGAAAAATGAAAATGTGAGTATTGATGATGATGATGATGATTTGAAGTCAAAAAATATTCGACTATTTGTTGATGTTGTTTAGCAATGATAATAATTAGATTTGTTGTAGAAATCTTCATTTGAACGTTGTTATCATCATCATTAATATATCGAATCAATATTTAACATGTGTTTTTTCATATGAAAAATTTATTTATTTATTTGATAGAAATAGTTTATTGGTTATGGAAATTGATGATCATAATCAAAGTATCACAGTGTTGCAATTATGATTCTGTATTGAATAGAAAAGAAAAATGAAAAAAAATGATAATCATATATTTGGAACATGTAACAAAAAAAATACATCCTAGTAATATGAATCAAATTACAAAAGAAAAAATTCATTTAAATTCATTCCATTCATTTGTATAAATTATAACCAATGGCATAATGATTATAATGCATCGAGAAAAGACATTGAAATACACCGAATTTTAATTTGATTCACACACACACACAGGTAAAAAAGCAAAACAAAAAACAAAAATTTCGTATGAGAAAACATATTTGAATAATAATAATAATATTATTCCCAATAGTTTTTTTTCATATTCATTATTATTATTATATGTTGGAAAACATCAACATTTGCAACAACGTTAAAAACAGAACAGAAGCACCAACTACGAATAAAGAAACAACAACAAAAAGAGTACAATCCCTGATAATGTTTGTGGTATATTTTCATTATTTTATTGAATTGTTATGAGCCTATATGAGAGGTCAGTATGTTTAATTTTAGAATCATGTGGACTGAAAAAAATGACTGTCTGATAACCAAAAATAAGATACATGTTGAGAAACAAACAAACAAAACAGAAAGGTTTTCAAATAAAATTCGCTAACAAACAAAAAAACATCAAAAGTATCAAAGTAATTAATCAATTCATTTAGCTATAGACATTAATCTGATCAAAGTGAATGATCTGATATGATGATCAAATGGAATAAAAATGTTTTGAGGGCAAAATCATTTCAAAAAATGGTCATTTTTTTTATCAATAAAGACATGGGTGAAAATGAAATCATCACTTTCGAATGAATTAATAAATGTTCGTGCTTTTTTCGAAAAAATTTCTTGATCGACACACACACCAATGAAAGTTAAACATACACACACTGAATGCTTATATTTTCATAATATAAACAATAATGTCCGAATTGACCAATTTTTATTTTGCAATGAAAAAAAAATATTGTTTGCCCAAAGCCTATGCAATCAATATAGACAAAACGGAAAAAAAATGTCGAACATTGATCAAACATGTGAAGCACAATGAATCCATAGGAAACATCGGTTTACCAATGTTTCGATTATGATGATGATGATGGAAAAAATAATATTTTTAGATAAATCAATTTTCATCATCAAACATAGAAACATATTTACAATATGTGTGTGTTTATATCATCAACAAAACAAAAGCGAAAACAAAAATTGATTCATCTGGTCGATAGATTTCATAGACATTTTGTTTTTTTTTGACAAGTTGAACATTCTTTATATATTCTATATATGTCTATATTATTAATAATGAAAATCAAATGAAATGAAAAATGTTTGAAAATAACCATATGTATCCAACAACAAAACAAAAACATTTACAATCGGATAAATGTAAATCATGTTATTTGATTGTTTTGTTTTGGATATATTTTCAATAAAAATGAAACAAAAAACATGTGCAAAAATATGATCTGGATTTTCAAAGAAATTCATAAACAAAATGAACTTCATTCTGGGCAATTTGAAATCATATTTAGGATTTTTTTCTATGGTTTCCAAACCAATATCCTGCTTAAACGAATCAAAATATGATTGAAAATGGCAAACATTTCAATAAAATTTCAGGAAACACCATGATGATGATTACAAAAAATATTAATAATTTCATCATTCGGTTGACATCTGTCATTTTTTGTAAATTTTAATTTTTTACCGAAATAATAATGAAAATCTAAATAACAACAACAACAATGTACATGTAAATGTGATGCGTCACTAAACATTTTTATAAATAAAAAATAATAATAATGAAAAACAAAATGGGGAAAAAAACAAAATGAACAACAATTCATTCATTCAGAACGAGAGAGAGAGAAAAAAAATGTCAACAACAACAACCAGAAAAAAAACATTAGTTTTTGATAACCACTGGTTTTTTCATTCATTCATTCATGAATGAATTATATTTCCAGAAACAAAAATAGGTTTTTGATCCACCCGCACACACAAGTCATCATAGCAAGTCACATAGATATTTTTCATTTGGGATTTATATTAGAAAAAAAATCCAGCTATGAATAAAACGACCGACCGATCAAATCAACAATAGATTAGGATTTTTTTTGAACAAAAAAGAGGACATGAGGTAAGCAAGTGTTATCATCATCATCACTGAAACGACAGTTATTATTCATTATTTCTGTTTATTTGTTTCAACATTTTCATCATCAAAAAAATATATAAAGATAATTAGACGATGAGAGTTCTCAGAAACTACCACCACCACCACCACCATCATTGTCATTGCTTTTACCGTTTATATTAATAATGATAATAAACGACAACGACGATAAAGATGATGATGATGATGATGATGGTTAATAGATGAAAATAGTCAAGTGAATGAGGTCATTTTAGATTTACATTTTTTTTTATATATTCAAATTTGAATGAATGAAAAAAAATATGTAAAAAGAGACGGTACAAAATATATAAAAATGAGAATAGAGGGATCCTCTCTAATTGAAGAATTTTTATATTCGTAAATCGGAAAAAAAGGCTAAAATTAAACTTTTTAATGTCTAAAAACAACAGGTAAATCACCAGATTTCAGATTAATGATTGAATCGATTATTGAATTGATAACCCAATGTTTTCTTTCTAGGGAGAGAGTGAATGAACGAAAAACGTTAAAATTAATGAATGTTTTGCTGGACATGATGAATGTTTTCATTGAAAAAAACAAGATTGATTTTTATTTAGGTTGGAAAAATCATTATTCATAATGTGTGATAGTATCAAAATGATCAATTGCGCCAGGAAAAAAAAATTTTTTGGATGCAATCAATATTTCTTCGAAAAAAAATAAATACAAGATCTGAATGATGATAAAGCATAAAGTTTTTTTTTATTTATCAAATACGGAACTATATTTTCAACATGAAAAAAAAGGAAATCGAAAATGATCATCAACGATATATTGCCAGTCGGACCAGTCATTCATTTGAAATCGAAATACCCAGGTAATCACCATCATCATCGAGACGACACAGACGCCAAAAAAAAAATGAATCATCATCATATGAGAAAACGAAGAAAAAAAAGGATCATTGTTCGGGAGAACAGAACAGATATCCGAGCCAACAAAATGACAATATAGTCATGGTATAAAAATACCTTTTTTTCAAACATAATCATCAAATGGCCTTTTTAATCTTCTTATTTTTCGAAAAAAAAAGTTTTCGGAAAAGAAATTTTTTAGGAAAAATATCGAAAATGAAAACGATGATGATGTCGTCTTTTGGTTTATCATTTTAAATCTATTGTGTCTGCGTATCGATCAAATGTAATTAAATTTGTTTGATATCCGATTGAACAAAACCGAAATTGAACAAACAAACTTACAACTACTACTATTGAATAAACAAAAAAAAGGTCAAAATGTCGTTGACCAAAAAAGAGAAGAAGATAAATTTCTTCATATTATCAATCAATATCAATAGGTTTTATCGATAACTGACTGATTGACTGTAAGACTGATTTCCTTGTCAAACAACAACAACAACAAAGTTAATGTTAATGGATAAATAAATCACAAAAAAAAAATTTCAAAGATTCTATTTGAATCAACGAGAGAAAAAAACATACAGAAACACACCCAATTTATATGGAAATTTTCAATTTCTTTTTCCAATGATTTCTCCAAAAGTTGAAAAACTCGGATGATATATAACAGAAATATGAATCAAAATTTTTTGTTTGTTTGTTTGTTTGTAAATAAGGGTTTAATATTTTTGTATTCAGTTTTCAACCAGGGATGGTTTGATTGGAATTAAATTGTTTACACAATTTTAAAATTTTTCAAACAAAAAAAAATGATGACGTCGAAATTAGATTTTGTGGATAAAACATACACCATATATACACACATACGCACAGACTCGATGATTGAACATTAAAAGAATCAATGATAATGATGATGATAATTAGCAGAATGAATTCGGATGAATGCAAAATGTTTTTTTTGATTATCAAAATTACTGCATCCACAAATTTATCATCACCATAAATTCTCATCGTCTAAGTAAGACAGAAAGAAGAAAGAAAGAAAAAAATTTAAATAACGGATATCCTACAGTATAGTAGAGTAGCACCAAACATATATAAAAACACAGACAGACAAAAACAATATAAAATATGTCACATCACAAAACAAAACAATTGTAATATTCGGGTAATATATTGAGATAAATGAACAACAAATCTTGAAATCCAGCAGAAAAAAGACAAGACAAGACAAAAATTTTCTTCTTTTTCTCTTTTCTTATGATTGGAAAATGGTTTGCTGGTTGGTTTTTTTTCTTCTTCTTCTGGAAAATGAAAAGATAATTGAACATTGGCTATACGGCGTAAAGAAAGAGAAGAGAAAGATAGAGGGAAACACACACACACACTATTTTAACTAGCTTGACAAGAAATGATTGGAAATTTCATTTCTTTTTTTTGAAAAAAATAAATATTAACGAAGGATAGAAAATCTGGGAAGAGAATAACTAAAAAAAGAGAGAAGAGAGTCAATTCAACTGAATGAATGAATGAACGGCTGCCTGGATCTCCCATGAAACGAATCAAAAATGAATCATATAAACACTGAATGAATGAAATGAATGAAAAACTTGATTACGCCTTGATGTATTTCAGGTTATAAACATGTATAGGGATAGGAAAGGATTTTTTTCGTCGCCGTTGTTTGTTCATGAATGTTTTTTTTTCTTCGATGACCTCCGTGTATGGATTGTTCAACGAGAAAAAAAAAACTGACTGACTAACTAACTAGCTTTGTAAGAATATGATATTATATCCACCATCATCCACACACAACAATAAACCAAGACAATCCACAGCTGAATTGTGATCATCATCATCATCGTTTCATCAACACAGACAACGTCATACAATTGAATTTCTTTTCGTTTTGCTTCATTTCAAAACACAAGATAGATCAAAGATGCATTAAGAATGGATGGATGAACAAAATCTTGATATTTTTTTTTGTTTCACAACTGGATCCATATAGTTGTAGTGGCAAATAAACCATAGCTATATTCACACAGATAGTCAAAAAAATGTCTATTATTCGAATGTATTGGACAAAAAAAAACTTCGAATATTTGACCACTTTGATCAACTAATTAGGAAAAACATACTTACGATGTATATTTGATGTAAAATTTGAAAAGTTTTTTATAAATAAAGAAAATCAAAACATTTATGATTGTAAAACGATTATATTATTTCATCTAATGTTGATAATTATTGCGTTTGACAAACACAAACAAGTAAAAACAATATCAGTTGTAAATCGGTAAAAAAAAATCAAATTATTGCCATTTGTAATCGTGATTCTTGATAATGAAAAGTTATTATTATTTATTATTTGATTTAAATGGATTATTATTATTTTTACAGAAAAAAAACAACTCAAAAAATACGGTCGCATAACGATATTGATTAGTTTTTGTAAAAAGTTTATGTCATGTTTTTTAGATTGAATTTTTAATTGTTTCCATTGACAACCATAAATAGCAACAACATTCAATATTTTTGGTTGCTTTGACAATCATCATCAAAAAAAAACAAAATTATTTACAAAATGCGATGAATTATTATAAAAAACAATTGGAATTAAAAACACTTTCACAGTTTTAAGATAATCAATTGATTTGGTAAATATAAAGATACAGAGATTACAAGAAGTAAAAATACAAGAATACTAAACGTGGGATTTTGTTTTGAGTTTTTGTTTTTTGGTTTGGTTTTGGTGTTTTTGATTCTGTTATTTATTCACAAGAATTGTTTTTGTTGTTGTTTGTTTCTAGTTCATAGTAAATTGAGGACGGTATTTTTTCGCCGCAGTGTCGACAATAACTGATTCAATACGAATACAAAAAGTAAACCGAAATAGACCTGACTTTTATATATAGAGAGAGAGGATACAAGAAAAAAAACACGCAAGGCGTCTATAGGTTTCCAAAAAACATGATTCTTTGTTTTTTTTTGGTTTCTGGTACTACTATGACTATGGCCAACACACACATACCAAACAAAAATGCAGAATATTAAAGACTGCATTGAAAAAATTTAACAACAACAAAACGAAACGAAACTTACCACAACTGATGAGATGATAATATTCAAAACAAAATACAAGAATTTTTCCCGTTTTTTCCATATCGAACGCATGCGTTCTATTTTTTTTTAGGTAGAAAAACAATCGAAAATTTATCAATCAAATGATAATATTTTTGTTTTGTTGATTTGCCAATATATAACAATTAGATTAGTTGATTTTTTTATGAATGAAATCACATTGTTGTTTAATTGTAACGGCAGATAATTATTATCAATTAGCAATCGTCAATGATGATGATAATTTGATTGCAAAAGCATCACATCACATCATCATCAAAAACATGACACATCTGGTCATATAAAAAATGATACACATCTTGAATGATGATACAACCGAAACATCCAAACAACAACAACAATTGTTGAGTAAAAATGATGATGATGATTCTATATAAACATCATGAAATTAAATTCTGGAAGAAACAAAAAACATATCACCATATTATGCCATCTATTGCTGAGATATGAAAAGAAGAAATTCTGAAAAAGAATGTTGTTGTTTTCACTGCTCATTACAAGATGGCAATAGTGTTTGAATGAAACAAAACAAAACAAAAAATTATTGAAGAAAAAAAAATTCGAATGTTTTTTTTTTTTTTTGGTAAAATTTTTCGATTTCTGCAAAAAAAAATTAGACTGTTCGAATAACGAAAAATCAAAAAAGTATATGGAAACC